ATGAGTAATATGATGAATTATGATGATATGTTGCATGATGAGTAATATGATTAATTATGATGATATGTTGTATTGGTGATTAGTATGATGAGTTATGACGTATGACGAATATGATGAATGATGATGCACCATATGTTGTTATTATGAGGATTATTGTGACGTGTGCAGCATGCATTCATGTGCATCCGGACTTCGGTTCAGGACCTCAATTACTTTGGCTTCAATCCCACCGTGTGGATGTGAAGTATTTTGATGTGCTCCGATCCTATTGATGAGGATCTACGGAGGGTTGATGACCCAGTGTCCATCGCGCTGTGATGATTGGTACCACATGCATTGAGTTGTGTCGCATTGCATCTATGAGTCTTTGTGTATGAATTATGACGTTATGGCCTTTGAGGCATATTTGAAGAATATCAATGTGTTGAATGTAATTATGAGTAATATATCGTTTATGCATTAGTTGTTATACATTGATTATTATGAATTGTCTTGCTCACCCTGCCTGTTTGAATGTTACCTCCAAGTGGGTAACGTGCATATGCGCAAGTTTAGCCGTGGACGCCGTCGAGGAGTATAACAAAACCTATCAATAAAATAAAAATTCCGAATCAATTTGTAGTCATCTGCGACAGGATCATAACAAAACCCATAAATATTTACAAAGGTAAACATCAAAGGTAGATCTTCAAAAATAGTGTCGGGAGGAAATGCTTTCAGAATTGCATGATTAAAAGAGCCAGAAGGAATGACTTTAAAATCCTCTGTAGACGGATTCCACAGTACTACTTCTTGGTCAATATAATTGGTGTCGCCTCTTCCATTGCCTCGACAGAGACAAAGTATTCCGTTAACAATGGAACCAACAATATAAAAACGTTTTCGATATTCTTTAAATGGAGGTGGCCAATCTAATTTGACTTTATTTTCAAATGTTTCACCCGAAAGTAAAAGTATATTATCTTCACTAAGATCAAGAGATTGCTTTAAAAGAAAACATGAATTATGATGATCCTCATACTTAGATGCAAATAAACTTATCCGGTAGATGTCCATGAATTGGGGTTTTTCAAATAAATTACTCCAAAACTTACATACACAACTAAATCGCTTCAAAGATTTCATAGGTAATTTAGAAAGAATATCAAAAGAAATATCATTGGGAATATAGTTGCTAACCTCCTTTTTTGGGAGATCCATTGATTCCATCAATTGCATGACTGTGATCATATGGTAAAGATGATCACCAATCAAATATAGCTTAAACTCAACAACAATGAAAAAAAACTTATAAAATTTATATTATTAGAGAAAACCAATATGATCTGGTGAAGAGAAAAACAATTATATATAGACTTTGTACCTTCCACTTTTCTTTTACTAATATATAATATATAAACTTTGTACCTACCACTTTCCTTTTATTAATTTTAATATAAACTTTATACTTACCACTTTCTTTTAATTTATATAGTTACAATATTTCATATATATATATATATATATATATATATATATATATATATATATATATATATATATATATATATATATATATATATATATATATATATATATATATATATATATATATATATATATATATATATATATATATATATATATATATATATATATATATATATATATATATATATATATATATATATATATATATATATATATATATATATATATATATATATATATATATATATATATATATATATATGATAAACTTTATACCTACCACTTTCCTTTTATTAAATTATATATATACTTTGTATTTTCGAGTTTTCTTTTATTAATTTATATATAAATATTATACTTACCACATTTTTTTTAATTTATATAATTACATATTATATATATATATATATATATATATATATATATATATATATATATATATATATATATATATATATATATATATATATATATATATATATATATATATATATATATATATATATATATATATATATATATATATATATATATATATATATATATATATATATATATATATATATATATATATATATATATATATATATATATATATATATATATATATATATATATATATATATATATATATATATATATATATAAACAAGTTTCTAAACTATGTACCTACAACTTTCCTTTATTAACTTATATATAAACTTTTTACCTACCACTTTCCTTTTATTAACTTATATATAAACTTTATACTTACCACTTTCTTTTAAATTTTAAAAACAAACTTTATACTTACCACTTTCTTTTAAATTATAAAAACAATAAAAGTAAAATTTCTAAATTTTAAACATACCACTTTCGTTTTATTAACTTATATAAAAAATTTGTTCCTACCACTTTCTTTTAATTTATTTGGTAGTGTTATATTTGTATTTCTTATATATATATATATATATATATATATATATATATATATATATATATATATATATATATATATATATATATATATATATATATATATATATATATATATATATATATATATATATATATATATATATATATATATATATATATATATATATATATATATATATATATATATATATATATATATATATATATATATATATATATATATATATATATATAATTTAAAAAACAATAAAATTTAATATAAATAATATAATTTTTTGTTTTTTTCAAAACATTTTACGTGAAGGTAAATTTATCCAACTTTTTGAGTTGGCTATATAAAAATTCAACAAAGTCAATTTTTAGAATACGTACTTACCATTATTCCCCGACAAGATTGACTCTTAAGAAGAATATAAAAATCCCTAAACTAGACGTTTTTTTTATAGCAAAGCCCTGGATGAAAATATTTGGTCTTACCTTTAACTTTTTGGATTTATGAACCTTTGAGTTTTTGCTTGCATTCAAAGATTTGGGATGCTTCCAAATCATTGGTGTGTTTGTAACAAATTACTTGACCCCAAAGTAATATTAATTTCAGATCAACATGTCTCTTTTACAGACACTATTAATTTAATTTTGATTGGTATCATTGCAATTTATGCTTTTACTTGTAACTTACACAAAATAAATCTCTCGATGAACATCTCATCCACCATTAGCAATCTCAACATCCCTTGGAGCATTATAGGATAATTTAATCCTATTGCTAGTTCTCATGAGCACAGAGGAGTTTGTGCTCCTAACAAAACTCACATGAAGGAATTCACTAATTATCTATATAATAACAACTTGATTGATATCCCTACAAAAATTTCTAGTGGAAAGAAGACTAGAGATGGCCTTTTACAATCATCTTTGGTTAACTTCTAGCATAATCATAAATGTCTCAACCTATACCAAGCATATGTCTGATCACTCTACTATATTTATGGAAGCTGGTTTCTCCTAACAAAAGCATGCATCGAATTTTAGGTTCCATGGAATGTGGAACCTTCATGAGAATTGGGAGGTTTTCATTGCAAAATCTTGGTATAAACCTATGAAAGGTTTCCCGATGTACATTTTTTCTAAAAAGCTTCAGATGCTTAAGTCTAATTTAAATATTTGGAATATGAGTGTTTTTGATAATATCCACAACAATGTGAAATTAGCTTATGAAAGATTAGATAACATTTAAAGCAGGGCCGGTCCAAGCCGAAAGCGAATGAGGCAAGGGCTTTAGGCCTCCGTCTTTTAGCCTTTGAAAAAGGCCTCATATTTAAAAAATGAGAATTTCTTACCCCTACCCCTTGGGGTTCTTACGCACCATGTGCGTTTCCAAAAATGCCCCTTGCTTCCAGAGATGTATCTCCGGACGCACATTTTTTCCGTTTTTTTTTTAATTTTATTCCGTAGATGCATCTACGAAAGACTTCCTTATTCATATTTACGGAAAAAAACTCAGTAATAAAATACCATAAAATCAACATTTCAACAATAAAATCGACATTCATAAAATAAAATCGGTGTTACACTAATAATTTTGACAGAAATTTAAATATTACATTTCACTAGCCCGGGGGATGCATGTACATCTCTAAAATATTATCGACAGTTCTTCGGACCGTCACCTCCAACTCGAGCGGAATCTTCTCTTCGAAACCGAAATTTGTTCACCACATCGCTCTAACGTCGTCTTGATTCTTGAGCTAAACTTGATGTAAACAATGTTCTCGTCATTGTCAACTGAAAGTGAACGATATTCAAGCTTTATAACCTTTTGTTTGTCATTGTAAGGCAGGCGATATTAGATCTCGTCTATGATATCGGCGAGGGGGTGAAATCCATGAGCTTGAAAGTCCTCCCGGGTGTTTTGTCGTCGAAAAAAGAGACACTTGCAACATACCAACATATCTTAATTTGAAACAATTGGGACATTTTTGCATTTGTGTGAAAGATAAAAAATGAAACCCCAAATTTATAGAAAACTTAGGTGAATATGGACCAACCATTTCCTGTCAAACTTGTTTTTAGAGCTATATCCACAGAACGACCCTATAATTATTGGTTCCAGATATGTATCTCCGGAACTTCCACTGAAACTGAATAATTAAGAACCTTCCGTAGATACATATTCAGAAGTTTCTCTGCTACATGTTTAAAGCAGAACTCAATATAGAAGGACATCATAATAGACAAATAAAAGGAATGTGTGCAAAAATAAGGCAGGAGAATAAAATGTGACTATTTTGCATTTTAAAAATTTACAATTAGTCATCCGATTATACAAGAATTTAAAACGAATCAAAAGAAGTTTCGTCGGCTAAATCTATTGGTGGTACCTCTTTGAACTTTTTCGCATTTGATTCCATTATTTTTTCAACAATCACACTGACCTTCACCAATTTTCCACCTTCGGACTCTACTTGTTTCACCTCCACCGCGGGTTTAACCCGACTTCTCACATTCTTTTTACGTGATATCAACAAAGTAATACATTAGAAGAAGGAAATACCTTTGCGACTGTATTCATCAACGTGGTATCCCGGTCGTTAACAATCGCTTTAGGCATTTTAACTTGGTCCTTCAAAAGTGACTGATACGCCTCTAATGCCCGTGTAAATTATCCTCTTTTCACAATCGAGAAAAGCAAAACCAACAACATATGTCTTCTCAGTAGACGTAACACCAACCATCTTAAATAAATGAAGCATATACTTATTGGTCTTGTAGGTAGAATCAAGAATGAGCACTATCAAAAACGCGCTGAACAACTTTATTGAATCCGGATGAGTCCAAAAAATATCTTGGATTGTAACTCCATCATCACAAGTTCTGTACCGGGACACGTAATTGTTATCACCCAACAATTTTAACAGTTGTTGCATCTCACTTCTATCTCCCCTAATCTCCTTATTGGTGTGGTATCGAATGTTATACACTTGTCTTATATTTGATATATTATCGAGTTCCTTTCGTTTCAATGTGGCAAATATATTTTTCGGTTGGACAAGATTCAAGGTCATGTCACTAATGCATGTCTTCTCTTCCGGCTTGAGTAGACATACACTAGGATGACCTTGTAACTTTGAGCATAAATCATGGTTATGCAAACCACAAATAACACTAAATTTCCATTTTTTTTTTCTAGTCAACATGTAACCGCGAAGCTTAAACGGACACTCGCATTTTCTACTATCTGTGTCCTCTCTCTTAAATTTCTGGAGAGGAATTTGATATTTACCGCTTCTTTCACACAACAAAGTAACAAAAGCGTTTCTTCTTTTCAAATCATTATTTGATCTTCCTATAACCGCACCAAAACCAAGTCTTGTTGCAGTCTTACAAATCCATGTGAGCATGCTTTCACAATCATCAAACTCTTGCTTGTTATTAAAGTCAACACCAACATCTACCGACTTTACGACAACCCCTTGAATATTCAAAGAAACATTGTTTGAAGGAACTAATTCTTTTGAGATGTTATCAGGGTGCACCATATCTATTTGTAAAAAATAAGGAAAATAAGCAAAAATTATAAAGCTGCTAGAAAAACAGACAGAGACGTTTCAGAGATGTACATCCGGAAGTGTTCATCTTCAACACGTTCTAAAGGTACAGCTCCAGAAGCAACGTCAATTTTTTTCAAAAAATTGATGATTAATGTGACCAATGTAGTGGACAAAAGGGGATTTTTATCTGAAATTCTATCTTCACTTGCTCCCTGTGATTTGTTGCACGAAAAAGTTGGAGTTTTGGAGTGAAAATGATATTGATAGTATATAGTTCTTTAGGTTGGTGAAGTGAGTATAGAAGAAGAAAAGACAGCAATGGGGGAGTGATCATGCAGGTTTAAAATATAGCAGAAACATTTGGAGTTGTATCTACAGAACAATCTGGCGCTCAGACGTTATGGAGTTACAACTCTAGAAGTTTCCCAGCACTGATTTATTTTGAAGTTTCCTTCGTGTATACTAGTAGAAAATGCTTCCATAGATGTAGCTCCGGAAACAACCAAATTTTGGAGAAAAACAAAGGTGCGTTCAAATGTGTATCTCCAGAAGCAGGGAGAATAAAAGGAATTTCACGAGGTGGCTAAGAAGGCCAAGGGGTGTGATAAGAAATCCTCTAAAAAATTCCGGCCTCTAGAAACATATAGTTAAAAAATCTTCTAACTTTAAAATAGTAACTTGAACAATGTAGCGGCTAAGGCATATATTGTGAAAATTTGAACATGGATTCGAATCATGCCTATCTAGTTTTACTACTTTGATGCTATTCAATTTAATAATTAGGAGTTTTTTTTCCAATCATACCTATGTAGTTTTGCTGGTATTCAATCTAATAATTAGGAGCATTGTTTTTCTTTTCTTTTCTTTTAATGGTTATTTGGAGTATTGTTATTTTGAAATAAAATAAAGGTAAATTAAATTAAATTTTTATTTTTAATATATATATATATATATATATATATATATATATATATATATATATATATATATATATATATATATATATATATATATATATATATATATATATATATATATATATATATATATATATATATATATATATATATATATATATATATATATATATATATATATATATATATATATATATATATATATATATTATAATATTTTAAATTAAATTTGGCCTTAGGCCTCAAAATATATTGGGCCGACCCTGATTCAAAGCCATCTTATTATGGATGGAAATGATGGAATTCTTAGAGCTCAAGAAACCAAGGTCTAACTTGAGCTTGATAAGGAACTTGCTAAAGAGGAGATTGTTATACCCCAAATTTTACTCTTAGATTCTTTGATTTATTTCATATCAGCTAGGTCAATCATTCATGCATAGATAACCAATTTAGTAGTTTTGTTTGTTTTGTGAAGATAGGGTTGCTAAAGAAGGTTCAAAGATCAAGGAAGCTTTGTGTGTGCTCATTGAGATCCTAGTCCCTTGCAAGTTGGGTTGAATTCCTGTCGAGACGAAGAAAGGATATGCCATCATTCTTATGGACACTTAATCAATACAAGATCAATTCTCTCCAATATTTCTCAGAAGTTTCCCCAAGGAGGACTAGTGTTTTCTGCCTTTTGGTTCGAGGATGGTCATTTGAGAACTGGGTGTAATCTCATAGTAATTTGCATTACAAGTGGTATCCTCACTTTCAAAGGGGTTTCTAAGCAAGAATTTGTTCTTATTCATGAATTTGGATCTTTTGATCTTAAAAGATTGGATTTTCTTGTTGGAGATCAGTATATTTTAAAGTAGTGAAGTTTGGATAAGCATCTTGAATCAGATTTTAGCAAGGAGCTCTTAAGATGAAATTCAAGAATTTGTTCTTTACAAATATTCAAATTGGTACGTTACTCAATATACAAGAAAAGTCTAAGGACGGCCTTAAAGCAATAAAGGACTTGGTAGCGATGGGAATAAGAAATGAATTAGGACCCTTGAAGAAAGGAAATGGAACATATCTACCACATGTTGCTTATACTTTATCTAGAAAGGAGAAAAAGATATTGTGTAAGTTTCTAAGTGAAGTTAAAGTTCCAGAAGGATACTCTTTAGATGTTAGAAGAATTGTATCTATGAAAGACCTCAAGTTAAAGAGTTTAAAGACACATGATTGCCATGTTATAATGGAACACTTTCTACCAATAGGTATACGTTCTATTTTTCTAGAAAAAGTAAGAAGTGCAATAAATCATTTGTGTTTTTTCTTCAGGTCAATTTGTAGTAAGGTGATCGTTCCTGCGATCTTACCAACATTGCAAAAAGAAATAATTATTACTTTGTGTGAGCTTGAAATGTATTTTCCTTCATCATTTTTTGACATAATGGTACATCTAGTTGTTCATCTTGTGAAAAAGACACAATTGTGTGGACCAGCTTATATGAGATGGATGTAACCTGTTGAACTTTATATGAAAATATTGAAAGGGTATGTGAAAAACCAAAGTCGACCAGAGGGATGTATTGTTGAACGATACATTGTTGAAAAATTGATTGAGTTTTGTACTGAATATTTATCCAATGTTCAATCCATTGGCCTCCCAAAATCTCATGTTGAAAAAATAGTAGGAAAACAATTAATTGGAAATAAAGTTGTGATGGTTTCAAGGGCTGAACAGGAGCAAGTGCATTTGTATGTTCTGCACAATGACATTGAGATTGAGCCATATGTTGAAATGCACAAGGACGTTCTCCGAGGTTTAAATTTGAATAAAATGAAAATTGGATAGTACGAGAGCGTAATCGAAGTTTTATAACATGGTTCAAGGATCATATATTTTCAAAATTTTATTCTGATCCTTCTTCAATAACAGAAAGGTTGAGATGTTTAGCATATGGTCCAAGTTTGCATGTGTTTTCTTATAGCGCATACGCAATTAATGGATACACATTTTATACCAAAGAACAAGATGATAAAAGTACAATGCAAAGTAGTGGTGTCATCGTGCTAGTCGAAGCAATGCAAATTTCAAGTGTGAAGGACTTAAACCCCAAGTATGAAAATTTGTCATATTTTAGGGTTATCGAGCACATTTGGGTGTTTGATTATGAGAAGTTTCAGATTCCTATCTTTGGATGCAAGTGGTTGAAAATAATAGTGGCATACGAATGGATAAGTCAGGATTTTTGCAAGTAGATCTTAATAAGGTAGGTTACAAAGATGAGCCTTTTATTCTAGTCACGCAAGCTAAACAAGTGTTCTATGTCACTGATCCGACAAGTACGAAATTGTCTATAGTTATTTTTTTTCAACAAAGTGATCGATGATAACATTGGAGATCAGGGTGATGTTTATGTGAGAAGAAATCTTATATTATAGATGATCAAGATGAGAATATTAAAGCGGACGAATCATATATTAGAAATGATCATAACGAGGGAATTTGGATCAACCCATCCGTCCGTGTTGTTAAGAGGCAAGTAAACCACATTCCAACGAAGAAAAGAAAGAGATGTTAGTCACAAAGGTGCTTATAAAATTATATATTATATCTTTCAATAAAATTATATATTATGTCATTCAATAAAATTATATATATGTTTTTCTTATTTACATATTTCTTATTTATATGTTTTTCTTTTCATATATATTTGTCATTCATTTCATAATTTTTTTTTTCTGAATTACAGGTATTATGGCTAGCAACGAGGAGAAATCACATAATACTTCTAAACATGATGGAAACGAACCAGAACAAGATGTGGAAGGAGATATTAAAGAGGAATAACGATTATGAAAGGAATCATTCGTGTGAGAGATAAAGGTATAAAATATGATGTGCATTGGAATGAAACAGACCAATTAATTGAGTCTAATTGTACGATCTTGACAAGTTATTCATTTGAAACATTTTACTCTAAGACTTTAGGATGGTGAAGAAAAAACCTAAAATATTTGTCATTCATTTATAGTCTTTTAACTCTCTGACTTACTGACGAAGAAACATGAAATTTTGTGATGCAGAAGAAACATATTGAACATATTTAGTCTAATTTACCATAATTCAAGGTGAAAAAGGTAAATATAAATAAGTTTGAGCTTCATTATTTAATCTTAATTTTTACCTATATTATATAAAAGATATGTCATGGAGTATAGTCTTTTATCTTTGATTTTTAGTGGGGAAAAACCTAAAATTTTATGTTGGAGTTGAAAAATAAAATATAATTAATTTTTTACACCTACTATAGTCTATTATGTTTTGTGCTTAGTGATTAATAAAACCTAAGACTTTGGGATGGAGAAGAAAAAACATAAAATATTTGTTATTCATTTATAGTCTTTTAACTCTCTGGCTTACTGAAGAAGAAAAAACGAAATTTTGTGATGGAGAAGAAACATATTGTACATATTTACGTCTAATTTACCATAATTCAATGTAAAAAAGGTAAATATAAATAAGTTTGAGCTTCATTATTTAATCTTCATTTTTACCTATATTATATAAAATATATGTCATGGACTATAGTCTTTTGTCTTTGTTTTTTAGTGGGTAAAAACCCAAAATTTAATGTTGGAGTTGAAAAATAAAATATAATTAATTTTTTACACCTACTATAGTCTATTATGTTTGTTGCTTAGTGATGAAAAAGTCTAAGCCTTTGGGATGGTGAAGAAAAAATCTAAAATATTTGTCATTCATTTATAGTCTTTTATAACTCTCTGGCTTATTGACGAAGAAACATGAAATTTGGTGATGGAGAAGAAACATATTGAACATATTTACGTCTAATTTACCATAACTAAATGTGAAAAAGTTAAATATAAATAAGTTTGAGCTTCATTATTTAATCTTAATTTTTACCTATATTATATAAAAGATATGTCATGGACTATAGTCTTTTATCTTTGTTCTTTAGTGGGGAAAAACCTAAAATTTTATGTTGGAGTTGAAAAATAAAATTTAATTAATTTTTTACACCTACTATAGTCTATTATGTTTGGTGCATAGTGATGAAAAAAACCTAA